TCACAGAGATCAGTACTCCCCCACCTCCCTCTCTCTCTCTTTATATATATATATATATATATATATATAGTTAATTTTGGTAATACAAAATGAAAATATGAAAAGAAAGAGAGATTTCTTAGATATGGAGAGAGAGAGGGGGGGGGGGATGTTAAATGATTTAATTAAATACAAAATGAGAATATCGATTTACTAATCTACCTTTTTATTTTATTTTAAGAAATACCATTGATTATCATAAATGACTGATTCATATTGGATCTTACGGTCATCAAAACTATCAAGTTCTCATTTGACTAGATCCATATACACACACACGCACGTACTAGTTGTATACCCATGTGATACAACATAATGTAAATATTTATTGTAAACCGATAATGTAAAATTAATGCAATTCCTAATTAACTAAAAAACCTGAAATTTGTGTTTGAACATAAATGGAGTACTCTGCCATATTAGTAGCACTCGATGCTTATCATGTATTTAAACACGTTTATTTGATGGTTATCGGTTAGTTTTATGAGGTTCAAACATAGAGTTTTGAAAAGTTTAAGTGCATATATTTAATAAGTTATATATATATATATATATATATATATACTAGTTGTGTACCCGCACAATGTCGCGAGAGCCGTGAATTTTAATGATTTTGAAGTTTCACTGGTTTTATTAGAGAAAATTTAACGATGATATACGTTACATTTGGTTTTTACATATTAATACAATTTGAATAAATATGAGTTATGGTTCCAATTACAGTCTATCGATGACAAAATCTAATATATTTAAAATCTAACATATTTAAACGACTCCATAAATGTGTTCGATTTACACCAAGAGCAAAGAATCAAGAGAGCGAGACCGAGAGTTCTAGAGCAATTGAATGGGAGATGAATGATAGAACTTTTAATAACTCATGGTAAATATCAGTTTGAATCTCACATTGGGAGATGTGAAGAAGACAGATGTATGAGAAAGTGTAGACATGAGCGAAAGATGTCAAAAGTATCTTGGGAATATGAAAAGAAAAGGTAATAATTTGCATTGGTAACTTGTACTATATGTTATTTTAATTGTAGATTAAGAGATTTTAAGACTGAATGCATAAAGTAGTACTTAATGCATTATAACTTGTTTTTAAGACTTTCAAGACTTTGTGCATAAATGTATAGTATTTTATGCATTAAAAATTATTTTTAAGACTTTTGATAAATCTGGTTTATAAGATAGTATAGATATATATATATACACACACACACACACACACACACTATATTACAAAGCATTTGAGAGAACTCTTAAAAACCACGTTTTATGCATTACATACTGTTTATTGATGCATATTACTTAAAATTCAAGATTACAAGTAATTTATGCATCTATACAACTTATTAAAGCTCCATGTTTGAATTTGTGTAATTAACTGCAAATAAACATAACCAAATACTGGATAGGTATCTCATTTTAAATATAAAAAATCTAAAATATATTTAGGATAATTATTAAATTCTAATAAAATACTAATTATTATCTTTATAAAAAACTATATTATTATAAACTAAAAATAAATGATTTCATTATTAAATTTAAATTAAATTATAATAAAAAATTGAATTAACAAAAAAAAAGTTTTTAAATGTTTAGTTTAATACTAAAATCGATATTTTTTTTTCAAAAATTTATATTTTATTCAAAAAATAAAAACATTATCGTTTTTCAGTACCATAAAATCGTATTATAACATCGACGAAGACAGTATAAAACGAAACATTAAAATCGAGATTATCTCGTTGTATTGTGCAAGCACCATTCTAGTATATAATAATAAATTGCAAACTTGAATTTTAAAAGATATTTTCAATGATTTTTGATGTATTTAATACATTTAAACCATTCTCAGTTTGACCAACTTATATTAAAATGTATATAAACACAACTTATTTTAAAAAAACGAGTCAAATTGTCCTAAGAATAAGATTTACAGTAAAAACAAAGTCATTAAAATAATAAAACTCATAAACGTTATCGTCGATGTTGAATTGTTCAAACATAAAGGGGTTGAGTTTTCATAAAGGTTTTGAGTTCGTTGACTTATCTGTATTATATTATAAAATATTTGGGATTCATCTTTTAAAAATTCTTAATTTTTCAAGAATATAAATGTTCGAGAATTATGTACAATACAAATAATAATACATACAATATATTTCTATATTACCATTTTGTAGACAATTCGAATGAAAGCTTTAGGGGCCGTTTACTAAACACTTATCTAGTAAGTGTTTAGTGGATAATTTTCCTTACCGGATGAATATGGCAAAAGTCAAAAATCTTACCCGGTAAGAACAACGATAAAAATGGAGAGTTTTACTCGGTAAGTGAGTGTGACGATTCTTACCCGAGTAAATGCTTACTGGGTAAATTGTTGCATACGGTACCATCTTGATGTACTACAATCTTACCCGGTAAAATAAATTATAGTGTTGACTCCTAATATTAAACGTTTACCCCGTAAGCATTTAGATAAACAGCCCCTTAGTCAGGGTTTTATAAACTCATATTACTCTTCCCCTGTAAAAAGGATAGTTTTAAAAACTCATAGATTTATCAAAATCTAATTTATCTTAATTTTTAATTAAATAAATTATATAAAAAACAAACATTTTATTCTTTTTTAATTTGATATCAATATTAAATCATTTAACCCATATTTTAATATTTCATTAATGAGTCATGAATATATTAACATGTAACCGTATTCATATATTATTGGGTTAAATATATGAAATAACAACTTATTTTTATAAATTTTCTTATTATAACATTTTATTTTTGTTTTTTCTTATTACAACAATGTACTTTCAAATTATTTTTTATTAAGGCATCGTACTTTAAAAAATCTACCTATTATGGTAATGGATAACTTGTTACCTTTTAAACCGGTTAACCCTTGATCTTTTTTGCTTGTTCGACTTTAATGAATTGATGTGGATGACACATCATTTTGATGACTTAACTAAAATAAAAAATAAAAACCTATTTCAAATTATTATTAGTGATTCCATTTTTCATTGTTATGATTTTTATTTTTATTTTCTTGTTAAATTGCATTAAATTAAATATTCTATAGTAAAATATTTATTAAATAAATATGATATATTATTTTCGAGATATATTTTGTTTGTAAAAAAAAAAGGTAACACTTTTTATTTTATGTTGTTCTAAAAAATACATATCTTTAAAGTTCTTTTTGAAGTGTTACAGAGATAAATTGTGATCACAATTTTTAAATATTGTCATATTAATGAATAATGCAAAAAAATCTAATTAATTTAATATGTTTATACGTCAAGTAAAAGTTTTTGAACAAATATAATATATTCTTTAAAAAATAATATTTTTAGTAAAAAAAGAACAATTCTTATTTTCTTTTTTCAAAAAATACATATTCTTTTAAAAATATTAGCGAGATAAATTGTGTTCTACTAGTTTTATTAATATTGGTATATTAATGAATAATTTAGATTTTTTTATTCATTTGATATATTTATTAAATAACATATATCTAGATATTAAAATTAAAAGTACAATATTTAATAAGAACTAATAGATGTTATAATTAAAAAAAGTGAAAGTATAATGTTGTAATAAGAAATGTCACATCACTATAGTACGTGTGGACAACTTACGTGGACAATAAGGTGACATGGAAACCTGATATAATGAGTAAATTTAAATCAAAATATTATACTCAATGCTATAATGGGTAAAATTTTTAAAATGCAATGTCATAATAAAAAATAGTTTGAAAGTATATTGTTGTAATAAAAAAAAAAACCAGAAGTACAATGCTATAATAAATAAATTTATGAAACTAGATTGCTATTTTGTGCATTTTGCCCTATAATATTTACAACTTATTATGTTTAGAATTTATAAAAATAACTCATAATTATCTGATAAACATGTTTAAATATAATATAGTAATATTAATTTTTATTAATAAAACAAAATTTCATAAAATTGAAAACCAGAAAAAAGAACTATCTCGCAATTCTAAAACCACACAAATTTACCAAGGCATATACACTATGTAAATGTTGAAGGCCACCCTGAAACCATAAATTTCATTGTGCTTCCAAAAAAATTAACCCTTTAACCTCAAAATCGAATATCAAAAAATGGTTTTGGTTCGAATGGACCATTCGATTGCCGAATTTTTTTACACCTTTAGATATTCCTCCAACCACCTAAATTTATAGATTCACTGCAAGTTTATTTAATAAAACCAAGAGATACAGAAAAAGATGTATTATACATACACATTTCTAGTTTTTAAATATCCAAGTAAAAAAACTCATAGAAATTAAAATTTTCGAAAATTAATCAAAATAGCCAATCTTCCCGACCAACTTCCCTTTTTAGTCATTTTTCCAATTAGATTCCTATTTTAGCCGGTGCTTACATAAACGTCTTACGTATTTGCGTAAACTCTATTTTCATATTGAAAATATAATATTTATGTGAGGATCTCCATTTACGTAAATGCTTTTTTTTAGGGGGTGTTTGGGATTGCTTATAAAAACCACTTATTGACTTATTTCTCTGTGGCACCGGTAATAAGCATTTTTAAATGTTTGGATAAACAGCTTATACTGATGTCAAACCGGTAACAAAGAGTTTTTGAAGAAGTTAAACAATTATAACTTATAATAAATTGATAAGAATTTTTATAAAAATATTAATTTAAATAAGTAATCCCAAACACCTTGTTAATCTGAAAATAAGATAAAAGACATCTTTGACTAATATAGAAATTTGATGGAGTATTTTTGTTAAATTTCCTTAGAGAAATGAACATGGAAATGAAATAAATGGGATGGATGACGTTGCATCTATGAAGTTGCATCTTGAACCGGGGTTTCAACAAAATTGCAACTGAGCATCAGAAAACCAGAAGAAAAACATAAATTAAACCCCCAAAAAAACCTTCTCTTTCTCTTTCTCTTTCTCTTCTGCTCTCCAGCTATTCTTTCCAAATCCATCCATCATCACTTCTGTTCAATGGATCTGCCCCATTTTTAAGATCTTCAATCACCTGCTACCTTCAATTCAATCTCCAACAACACGATTTGGAGCAGTATGAAGATACCTTGTTGCACCGTCTGTCAGACAAGGTACAACGAAGAAGATAGGTGTCCTTTGTTGCTTGAGTGTGGCCATGGCTTCTGTAAAGAGTGTCTTTCTCGTATGTTCTCATCAGCATCCTCAGACACTACTCTTTCTTGTCCACGGTGTCGACATGTATCCGTTGTTGGTAACTCCGTCCACGCGCTTCGGAAGAACTACGCTATATTGGGTTTAATTTCTTCTGCTTCTAATGGGGATTTTACTGATGAGGATGACGATGATGATGATGATGGGTTGGTGGTGGTGGTGGATAGGGACCGGCGTAGCTGTGGCTCCAACGCGTCGAGTTCTAATGGTTTGATTGAACTTGGTTCGCACCAGGACTTGAGGATGGTGAAGCGGATTGGGGACGGGACGGGGCGGAATGCGGGTGGAGTTGAAATGTGGTCCGCGGTGTTGTCTGGGAAATCAGGGCGGTGTCGCCATCGTGTGGCGGTGAAGAAGCTTGTGGTGATTGGGGAGGATACCGATTTGGTTTGGGTTCAGAATCAGCTTGAGGATTTGAGGCTTAAGTCTATGTGGTGTAGAAATGTGTGCAAGTTTCATGGGGCTACGAAGGTGGATGGTTGTCTTGCTCTGATCATGGATAAGTGCAATGGTTCTGTTGAGACAGAGATGCAACGAAACGAAGGAAGACTCACTCTTGAGCAAATCTTGAGGTTTGTTTCTGTGTAATTCGGACAGTGCTCTTTGTCTTTGCTTATGTTTGTGCTCTTGTTAGGTATGGTTGATTCTGATGACTGCATTTTAATTTGATTTGCTATAGAACTTGACTTTTGCCTGTAGGAATTTCGAAACTATAACATGCACCACTTAGAATGAAGTTCCCTGTTGCTTAATTGGATGATCCTGCTCCACCTTTGTAGGTTTCAATTCTCACTTTTTTCAAGAAAGTGGGAAAAAATTGATATTATAGAAGCATGGTTAAGATATTGTTCTGTTGGGAACGAGCCCTAAAAACCTGGCAAGTTGGTTTGTAATGCACTGAAACGACAACTATAAGATGGGATCTTGATATATCTATATACTGTTGATTAACCACTAGACCTTTTTACACTGATGAAATGGAGGCTTAAGCTAATGAGGAATTATATAAATAAAAGGAATCTCAATTAGGTTTTTCCTGGAGGTATAGATGGTTACAGTAATGAAACATAATATTGAAGTTATCTAAGTAAATAGATCAAGGAAAATGCGTTGATCAGAGAAGAAAATCTTTAAAATTCTCATGCAATTACGTTGCCAAACAAAAATATAAATATTTGCATTCATGCTAGAAATCTCGTAAGTGTAGAATGACAAATGGATTTATGCGATATTTGTGCATTGACTTTCTAAATAAAGATTACATCATTTGCAAATGATAATCAAGAACGTTAAATTAGAAACATCGTAGTCTTATCTTAACCCCTTCACTCACCAAGTAGAGCTTCTGCTCGTTAAACATCAACCACATTGACAACATACAGAGATAAAGGACTCCAGTGTCTCACTGTTATTGAGGTTGTAAGACTGAATCCAACTAAAACACTCTTAAGGATATTAGTATATTACTGACTTACTCTACAACCGCTTTCTTTATTGAAAAAACCTACATGTTCCTGCAGCCATGAGGAACATGCAAAACATCTTTCTCTAATGGTTCCGCTTATCATGATTCAAATTTAATTAGAAGTAACAAATTCTAGTCCTAATCTTTATATAAAAAACACAACCTGATATATACGAAGATTCCAGAATATTCTTGTTTTTAACTTGCTAATTCGGTAGGGCTTTATCTTACGACATGCAATTTTATGCATCAACTACTGTATTACTTTATTTCATCTCTATGGACAATCAATTTCTCTGCTGCGCAAGAGAATCCAAAACATTTTAGTGGAGCCACAAACATCATATGATGTTAAAGGATAGGAGACGGGTCCCAAGAGAGTTGAATTTACCTGATCCATGATTAATCTGATCATCTCATAATGGACAGAAAAGAAGTTCTCTCACCAAATGTTTCAGCCCAATATGGAAAAAGTTGACCAGAAACGTAAATGATAATGCAGACTTTGGCTTGATCATGTCTTTCCTCAGATAATGATAAACCCTGCTATTTCATCCTAAATCAAGGAAGGTTTCTCTATCACATGACCACATCTGACCTTAATCTGAATGTCACCGTGGTCAAGTTCCTGCTCCACTTACTAGAAGTTATCTTGTGAAACCCATCTGTTTCACAGTTCTATTCGCCAATGATGCTTGTTTTACAGTCTGCCATTTGACTCGGTCTTAAAAGGGGAACGCTGAAGTTCAAGTGTACTGCCCTTAGCTGTATACTCTTCAAGGCATTGGGAAGAAGAATTTTCTCATTCTTCTGATCTGGATAGCTTAACTACCACTCTTTAACTTTTATGCCAGCAATCCCATCTCTCCAAAAAAAGAAAAACCAAGAGAAAACCCTTGGATCTCCAACTTTTGATTCTTTACCTGCCCCTGGTGAACCAAGGCCCACAAACCCATGATACACATCCTTATCCACAACAAAGATACCAGGCTAAGTTAAACCTCTTTATGCCAGGAACACCACAAAAATGGGAATACACAAACCCAGATCTTAAAGCTAGAGATTGGATACCCACCATTTGGATTAGCATTCTGCCCTGCAGATTGCAGAAGGACACCTGATCTCTGCCCCTTCTACCTCTGCTACTTGGATGCTGGTGTTTAGAAAAATTATCTTCACTAAGAAAGTCAAACTGTTGCCCCCTGTAATCCCGTTCTCGACTTCCTTTTAGTTAGTGCTGGTCCTCATCTCTAAAGACAAATTGACATGTGCGGGTCACTTCCTACTAATCGCTATTAAAGAAGAACAGAGAAGAAAAGCAGAAATAAATGCTTCTCAACATTTTCACAAGGCCATACATGGAAAATTGAAAAACATATAGCTACATGTCTGAGATGATATATATGTCGCATTGGTTTTGTTTATAAATCTCTTAAGCCGGTATCTAAACTGATATTATCATCAATCTTACATCTTTGAGATTTCATTTCTATGATATTTCAAATCTAGTATGAGCAGCTAACAAATCTTTTTTTGTTCCCTTTTTTAAAGATACGGGGCAGATATTGCTCGTGGGGTGGCTGAGCTCCATGCAGCAGGCGTGGTTTGTATGAACCTTAAACCATCCAATCTTCTTTTGGATGAAGATGGCCGTGCAGTGGTTTCTGATTATGGACTTCCTGCCATTCTAAAGAAACCTGCTTGCCGAAAAGCTCGCTTAGAGTGTGATTCCTCAAGAAGTCATTCATGCATGGATTGTACGATGCTGAGCCCAAACTACACAGCTCCAGAGGCATGGGAGCCTGTAAAGAAATCACTTAATATATTTTGGGATGATGCCCTTGGCATATCTCCAGAGTCGGATGCCTGGAGCTTTGGCTGTACATTGGTGGAAATGTGCACCGGTTCTGTTCCGTATGACCTTTCTCTTATTGTAACATAGTTAATAGATTTATTGACCACACATATCTGTCCTATAGAAGGGGTGATTACTTAAAAATTACAAGTTGATATTTCTTTGTAGGTGGGCTGGCTTAAATGCTGAGGATATATATCGGGCAGTTGTCAAGGCCAAGCGACAGCCTCCACAATATGCCAGTGTGGTAGGTGTTGGAATACCGAGGGATCTCTGGAAAATGATTGGCGACTGCCTGCAGTTCAAGGCCCCAAAAAGACCGACTTTTAGTGCTATGCTAGCAACATTTCTCCGGCACCTACAAGAAATACCTCGTGGTCCTCCTGCTAGCCCAGATAAGTAAGGCTCAAGCTTTCATGGAGACAGCACAGCCACACACGCACACATGCATGTTGCATATGACTCATTAGACATTTACATCTCTCAAAATGCAGTGATGTAACCATATTCCCCAGAGCAAATGGGATACCACCTTCTCCTTCAACTGACTTAGAAGTTGTCCATGATTATCGGAGTCTACTACATCAGATGGTTTCTGAAGGCAATGTTTCTGGTGTCGGGTCAGTAGCGCTTTGTATGTACTTTGTACATATACTTTATGCATTCTCTCTTTCATCCTCTAATTTAAAATTTCCTCTTCATCTCAATACAGAGAGTTGCTTGCAAAGGCTTCATCAAAAAATGATGGCAACTCATTTCAGTCTCTACTTGAAGCACAGAATGCTGATGGCCAAACTGCCCTCCATCTGGCCTGCAGACGTGGTAGTGCTGAACTTGTTGAGGCCATTTTAAATTATGGAGAGGCCAACGTGGACGTGCTTGATAAAGACGGGGATCCACCACTTGTCTTCGCTCTTGCAGCTGGATCCCCAGAATGTGTTCGTGCTCTTCTTAGCAGATATGCTAACGTCAGATCTAGATTGAGGGATGGGTTTGGTCCATCGGTTGCTCATGTCTGTGCATATCATGGCCAACCAGATTGCATGCGCGTAAGTTTTTTGACTGCTTCATATTAGTGGCTGTACCTGTTCCTGACAGTCTTATAATATATCAAACAAATAAGAATGCAGGAAAATAAGAAATTACATGGTCTATGAATAAGAGACAGTTATGGTAAAAATGGGAACTACCAAAATGTACGTTGCGGTAAAAAATATAGAAAATTACCCAACCAAGATAAAAGCATATATCTGCTACATGCTGCCAACGCTGGAAGGAATAGAGGGAGGCAAGAACCATTTCTTACAATTTTGTTGTCATGTCCCCCTCTTTCCTACCACTTACAGACTGCATTTTGTTTCAGATGTTCCATTTTGATATGTTTATAAATGATAACAGGAGTTGCTAATGGCTGGTGCTGATCCAAATGCGGTTGATGATGAAGGTGAATCTGTACTGCATAGAGCGGTGACAAAGAAGTACACAGAGTGTGCTCTTGTTATATTGGAAAATGGGGGATGTAAATCTATGGGTATATCAAACTCGAAGAATCTGACGTAAGTACAAATCTATCTTCAGTCTGTCTTGAAAAACTAATCCCAATCAAAGCTATAAAATAAAAATGTCGAATTTCATATTTTCACTGGGAATAGCTAATACTGGTGCTCATCAAGATAGTTAGTTGAATTGGATGTAAAGCTACACGATTTAGGATGACTTGCTACAAAAAGGATGTATCACACATTTGTGAACAAGGCAAGATCTTGTGATGCGAATCCTACAAACAACTTATAGGAAGTAGTTGTCCTTGCTGGCAACAACTGTTGTAGGATCTCCACCTTCTGTCATCACTGATTGTCTATTTCTCCTTTTAGCAGGCAGAATAATTTTGAAGGACATCTTGTAGTCAGAATGAACACGTTCATCATCCTCGAGTTGTAAATTTCTTTTTATAATACGATTGAGGAAGAATAGTAATACCCAACAACCGCCACCAACCACACCACCACCCCCACTTAAACATGTCAACACTGAATTGTTTGTTTCCAAACGCAGCACCACCCATCGTATAAACACAGCCCTTCCTTATGTCCCCTGTTATCCTACAGCTTTGCCCAGTGTCACTTGCCTCCTGTTCTGTTCACCCATTCACAATTCACCTCCTCCGTTCTCTTTTTCGTGAACACTGCTTATTTATCTGACAGATAAGTGTTAAAGATATATTCATAGAAGTAAGGTTCTTGAGCTCCTATATCAGCCTGTTAGATATTCTCATGCCAACAGATTGGTAGTCGATGATGATAATGTTTTATTTTTCTTCAGTTTTCTGATATAACATGGGTTGTCCATATTGTTGATAATATCTACCATTCACCTCCTATCTATTTATCAAGTTTTTTTAGCATATCCAAACTTAGAATCCTCAATATTCTATTAACCCAACAAACAAAATAGAGCTGTATGCCTATATCATTATCAGCATGTGATGCATCTGTTTGTCGTGCAAAACTTACTCGGTCTCTTTTCTAAGATCTTTTCAAACCTAGAAATAGATTTGAATTGAAACTATTTTTTTGGGGTGGTTAAGCCTAGTCCACTTGTCCCACCTCTTTTTTTGCACTAAATACAAGTCTCCCCCTGGCGGAAAAAAACACTTCCTACTGTTTTTTACACCCCTTAAGGAAAATTGTCGATGTTGCTTCTTCAGTTCCTATTCCCCCAGCTCCTCCTTTTAAAACCAACCCCTCCTAAAATATCCCATACTCCCAATTTTGTGTCCTTTTTGATTGACATATCTCATCCTTGTGTTTCTTCTTCAATTAGCAATAGCCCTCTAAAAACCCTTACTCGCTAACCTCTCACCTACTCTTCAGTCTTCAATAAACCTGCTCTATCAAATATATCTCTAATTCTTTAGGTCGAGTTTCAGAGGCCTTCTCTTCTATGCGGCATGGCCTTTCTAAGTCTAAAACTGAGAATAGGTTAACGGTTTTGGCTGGAACATAAGCTATTGGATATCTTGGAGAAGATGTCAATAAAAAGTTAGATATTTTGATTTTTAAATCGTTTGTCAGAGAAAAGGTTTAGGTGGATAAAGAGGAAGATACTGCAGTACTGGAAGGCTAAGATGGGAAAGAGGTTCTGCTAGGTTAGGAAAAAGAAAATAGATTATCCAAAGGAGAAGTTGGGAGTCTACCGGTTTTAGATGATGGTGGAAAAAACTGGAGTAATCAAATTGGTCTGAAGGGAAAAGAAACAAAAAGAGCTGAATCCAATTGCAGAATGATTTCATTAAAGGAATGCATTTGGATTTATCTCTGTTTGAGAAAGTAAATAATTAGATAGTGCAGTGCCAAGAAGAGGAAGAAAAGGGAAAATATTCTGAGGTCTCCTTTATTCTAATATTTTTTTCTCTGGTGGATCTTAGTTTCATTTTTGCTTTTTTGGCACAATTTGTATGTGGCTAGAGTTTTGGTTCAATCAGTTCTAGATTTGTTTCCAGTCAGTGTGTAGTGTGGTAGCTTTAGTTATGGTGTGTTTCAGTTGTAGTTGTAGTTGTAGTTGTAGTTGTAGTTGTAGTTGTAGTTGTAGTTGTAGTCTAGATTGATGTACAGACAGTCAGTTGGTCATACTATATTCGTATGACTTATTATCCTTTTCAGCTCAGTAATTTTTTTTTTGCTGTTTTAGGAAAAAAATTGATGAAGAATTATATATTCAGTTAGTTTTTCATACTTCTGTAAACCATCAACTCTCACTTTCATTAATAAACTAGGCAGTTGCATTGCCATGGTCTCTACTTTTGAGTCATTGAGATGTCCTTTATGTAAGGAATTAAACAATTCAAATTTACAATAAATTTTGTTAGAACATGCGCCGTTCACTGATAAGTGTAGCTGGTTTATCACCAGACTTCATAATTCTGATGCCTAAAAAGGATAAATTATACAGTCATACAATCATATTGCAAATTTCCTAGGCCAACCTGTGTGAGAAAGAGTAAATGCATCCACAGGGTTCGTTTGGGCTACCAAAGGAGTAGAGGATGCATCAAAACCCACATGTCTTTGAAGAGGGACACTTCTGAGCGATGGTAGGAGTATCTCATCAACACTAGAACTAACTGTCTTAAAATACATTTTGGTATTAGGATATTAGAAGTCTATGAATTTGAAATCACTTTTGTGTTTCATTTCATGTATGATTTAGCATCAAGAAATTTATTTTATATTTGCTGTGTACCTTTAGAAAGATGAGAAGTCCTTTTTTAATGATTGAAGCAAGTACCTTAATAACAATAGATGGTTGTTAGTTCATCATCTGAACTCTGAAGTAGGTGTGGACTTGGGTTATGTATTTGATGATATGTTTTTGGTGACTTTCAATGTTATTAGGAAAGAAGGCGTCTAGGGCTCTAGGTATATATGATCAAATGGGAACAACTTGTACAATCAGTTTTGAGTTATATCGATGGTCATATACTCATATACACCTTAATAAATTAATTGTATAATTGGACAGGCCTCTGCACTTATGTGTTACAACATGGAATGTAGCTGTTGTTAAAAGATGGATTGAAGTTGCATCCTCTGAAGAAATTGCTGAAGCCATAGATGTACCTAGTCCTGTGGGCACTGCACTGAGTATGGCGGCTGCTTTAAAGAAAGACCATGAAGCTAGTAAGTTTTAATCTCATATTCAAATCAACAGGTTTATTTGATTGTATTTAGTTGTTATTATATTTTTCTCTGCATGTTCTGTTCAAAATTTCTCATTCCTTTGATTAGATCACCTTTTTATTGCTGATTACCCTAAATATTTTATGTACCTAAAGTAAACAGAAAGCAGATATAATTTATTTAATTTTGTTGCAGACGGTAGAGAACTGGTGCAGATATTGCTTGCTGTCGGAGCTGATGCCACTGCTCAAGACACTCAGCACGGACGGACAGCTCTGCATACTGCTGCTATGACTAATGATGTTGAGTTGGTTAAGGTAAGTCATGTAGCTTCTTTAGTACTGAATGCAAGCGGTTGAAGGGCAATGCCATGAAGGAAAATGTTCAATTACATCCAAAAGACTTGGAGATTTTAATTTGTCATAAAAAAATAGGTATAGTTCCTGGTAAGAAGGAATTCTTTCTAAGTCATGCTTGTAAGGCATTACTTCGTACACCCTACTCCATGCTTGAACTATTTGTCTGCTTTATATCAAACTGGCTTACTGCAAATACTATTGTTTTGATTGTACTCAAGGAAAACAACTCTGATGATAGTAATATCTCAATGTGGTTTATGGTTATAATATTCTTGAAAGAAAAATTAATTCATAATCAACAATACAATGAGCCATCCAAAAACATGGTTAGCAATAATTGGGCTAACCTTCCATTAAGAGTCTGTTTGGCTCAGGCTGAGGAATGAAAACGGGAATGAAAATGAAAATGATAGGGAATGGAAATGAGAATGAATTTTCATTCCCCCTGGTTTAACCAGGGATGAAATTTTGGGCTTCTGGGGGAATGGTCCCATTATATTATAGAAAACCAAACAATTTCTTTTATTTTCATTTCTATTGATTACTGCCTAATACCTCTAACCAAACACCTGACTTGTTGGGGTTTAGGAAAAGTAGATTGCTATATTGGTTTGTTCTCCCTATCTATCTAAAACATATTCTTCCAACGTAACTTTCATTTGTAATTTTCAATGGCATTCATCTTCAACCTACTCATACAAGTTTCCAGAGACGGTGAGTTGAATCAAGTTTCTTACTACTCTTTTTTTGAACAGATTATCCTTGATGCTGGAGTTGATGTGAACATAAGGAATGTGCAAAACACCATTCCTCTACATGTGGCGCTGGCAAGAGGAGCAAAATCATGTGTTGGATTGCTTCTTTCTGCGGGAGCAAATTGTAATTTGCAGGTACCTATCTTTCCCTCTCTTATCAATTCTAACTCAAACTCAAGATGCTGAAAATAGTAAAGAAGACTCATGTGCTATTGTTGCACTTAACTCTTCCCCCTCCCCTTACCTCCCATGGTGAAAACCTCCAGAATTCACGCGTTCGAAAAAATAATAACCCTTTACCTCTCAAAGAACTGGGAACTAACTCTACTTATGTTAACACAGCCTCTATAATTTTAAAGAGGAGCTACTCATGTGCTTATGCTCATTACTATGCGAAATAATTATAGCAATGCTTGTACGATGACTGTTGGTCCACTTGGGTTCATGTCAACAGAGATCATCTACACTGGCAATTCTTGTTGTTTAGTCTTGCAGATGGTGAATTTAATGCAAATGGGTGTTTTAATCACTTCATGTAGATTAGAATGGACCAAAGTTGTTAAAGGCTCAAAAGGTTCACTTAGGCGCAACAGCGTCCTGGGCCTAGGCGCGAATGTGAGGTGCATCTTATCAATATATATATGTACACACACACACACTCGCACGCACAGTTACACACAACAAGTCTCCAATGCAGCAACCAACACTACTTCGATAGAGGTAGAAGGGTTTAAAGCATGAGCCGTGAAGGAGAAGTTTTAAGGTTTGGGTATTTATAGAGGAGGCTTGAAGTTCTAAGGACTTGGTATTTAATATTAGGGTTTGATTTATGTCATCTATTTAAAAAAAATCTAGGAGATGAGAAGATGAGAGAACTTGTTTAATCTTAGGGTTTAACTAGGTATTTAGTAACTCTTTATGAGGCGCACTTAGGCCCACAGGGCGCCTCAGTCAAGGCGCAGTGCCTTAGCAAGCCTCAGTGAATACGCTAAGCCTCAACTTGGAAAAGGTTCAAGGCCTTGAGCCTTATGAGCCTCAGAGCCTAGGCGCGCTTTTAACAGCTATGAAATGGACCTATAATAGCAACAAATTCTATAAGAATACTTTTTGGCCAACATATAGTGAGAGGATTACTAATTGCAGGTATTTACATTTATCCTTGGCACATAACTCTTGACGATTTTTCTTGAAAGTTCTGATGAGAATACATACTATTCAATATTATGTAGAAGTTACAGTGTGAGGAATTCCAAATTTTCAGAATCATACATTTTATAGGCTACTCCAGGGTGGAGTCGTTAGTGATTAGTCTACACTTTATTCATTTTAATAGCTAATAGTAGATACTTTATCCATCAATAAGTGAATGGTGCCCTACATGTTGAGGTTTATCCTGCTGTTCATGCAGATAGTAATTAAAGTTAAGGTGGTAGGTTGTGCTTTTGTCTCGTATCTAACCTTTTAGGGTTCTTTCTGTATATTTTGTGTACATGTGACAGTCGTTTTTCTGAAATTTATGTCACATAAAACTGAAATAGGGTACCTATAACCCGGAAACCAAGTTGCAACAATTAAACCAAAAAATGTAATGACAAACTATTTCTAGGTTTCTTCTGAAACCGAAGTTGAATTGGTTTCACTTTGATAAAAATCAAGATTAAATAGTTAGTATTTATGTATATTGTCTTAGAAAGGTTGGGTTACCTCACAACTATTGTTCTGGGTTGTAACCTGCAACTCATTCTTGAAGTCATTCTCTGTATTATGTATTTGTTAACCGTGAGGACACCATAGAGGTCATATCAAGCCTAAAACACATATTTATCCTATTTCTGTAGCAATCCATTGTAACATGTTGCTTCTTTCAGATGTGTGATATAATTTATTATTATTTATTTATATCCTTCTAACCCAGGTGCTACTTGTTTTCAACCTATTTTTCAGGATGACGAGGGAAACAATGCTTTCCATATAGCTGCTGATACGGCAAAGATGATACGTGAAAATCTAGAGTGGATCATTGTTATGCTCAAATATCCAGGGGCTGCTGTAGAGGTTAGGAATCACAGGTAATATCCAGTTTACAGAATTGCCGATCTATTAAGTATTAGAAATGGAGCTTTCATTCCCCTTCTTTTTGGAGAAGTTGAATATTTTGATATGTGAAGGCTGTGTAGAAACCTACATGAGGCTCCTGTATGTTCTATGTTGAAAATGCTATATTTATGTACTTTTGATGGATGACAGTGGCATGACACTACGCGACTTTTTGGAGTCCCTTCCTCGGGAGTGGATTTCAGAAGATTTAATGGAGGCACTTGCAAACAAGGGAGTTCATTTGTTTCCAACAATGTTAGTAGATTTATTTGGTTCTTTCATTTTCTTGATGCTTCTTTCCAATGCGCATCTTTTCTATAGAGTGACTTGAGTTTTTTTCTTTTCCAAACTGATCTTTAGATATCAAGTAGGCGACTGGGTGAAATTCAAAAGAACCGTTGCCACTCCAACATATGGGTGGCAAGGTGCAACACACGAGAGTGTCGGTTTTGTTCAGAGTGTCCCAGACAAGGATACTCTCTTTGTATCATTCTGTTCTGGTGAAGCTCGTGTACTCGCCAATGAAGTTATTAAAGTCATTCAGTTGGACAGGGGGCAGCATGTGCAACTCAAAGCAGATATCAGGGAGCCAAGGTATGATTACAATTTTCCTGCTTTAAAATAATGAAGCCTTTTAACTTTTACCTCATATATTCTTTGTATATCCATGGTTGACCTTCCTGTTCAGTTTTCTGAAGTCAAGTTTATTCTTGATGTGCAAGGGGATTTTACTGTTTTTTCATCCTGCCATCAATTTCACAGCCACTTTAGAATTTCCATGTCTACACTCGTTGGAAACCGCCAGTAATTCTTTGTTTTTCTTGTTTGTCATGTTATGTTACTACATAACTTCTTACTAATGTAAGTCAGATGGTTTCCCTACTTAATGCATGATAGCAAGCTGTAGACTCACACTAGGAGATCCTACCTGATCTTTGCTTGGAAAAAATGTATTATCTAGGTGCCACATGGTAATTAGGAGATTGAGGTAGATGCTATTTGTTATACTAGCAGATTTCAAGTGGCTTGGTGATACTTAAGTACTGTATATTTAGGCGAAGTCGTTAATGTCAATCACTATTAATGTAATAAAGTAATTGATCATTAAGATGATGGTATGCTGATGCTACAAATCCTTCCATTATTGACAGTTTATAACTTTACGGATATTAATAACTGTCACTCTTGCACGAAGAATGTTAGGTATTCGAAGTTGCAAGCATCAATATAATGTTAAGAAAACCGATGAACCAAGTGTGAGCTAAAAGCAACAAAGATTTACTTTGACATGTATATTGTCTACTATTCTTTTTTCTGTTTATGGTCCACACTGGTGGAGAGTGGGGAGGCAGGGTTGACCAGATAAAGAATTGCATAACCAAGATCTCTGACTTTAAAATTGTGGCAATTCTTTGTCCACTTGCGGTCTCTAATACATCTTCAGCAGTATGTGATTGAATTGCTAGGAGGTTAAACAAATCTTACCTAACACTCTTCATAAACAAATACAATTTCTACATGGATAGTAATTAGGATTTGAGTTGGTGCTTGGATGTTGAGGCAATACCTAGAATATAGCTTGGGCTTATGGGTCGAGAACAAAAATCAAAATGAATCCTTTTAACGAAACATAGTGGAAAATTCGAACTACTAGTACGAAGTCGGCATATGGATATCACATGTGCCGAACTTGCCAAAAATAAAACTAGTCTCCTAGGGCATTTTCTCGGACCATTTGCTTATTGGCATACAGTTTGGATGTGAAGTAGATGAATAAATGGAGAATCTTCTGATTTATCCATGCATATTTTCTGAAATATGACTATCAACCTTTGTATCTGAGTGTTCCATGGACGACTTTGTTCTTGTCTATATTTACAGCAAATTGTTATTACACAATAGCTGCATCAATGTCAATGGAAGAGTACAAACTCGCATAGTAGATGTAATGTATGTTCGGTCCCAAGTTGACAATTTTCATTTACTGGATAAGCATTTTCCATGGGATCTTGAAACCACCAGCCATCCGGACCTAATTCATGATGAGCACACCACCATCTTCTGGGTAAAATGCCAATGGTTAGAAATCACCCACATGTCAAGATCGAATTTTGAATTGGTTCCTGGTTTTGGTTGGACTGCTGGGTATGGAATTTGCTGATTGACTTTAAATATTGAATTCTGATGTATCATTTACTGTTCTAGATTTCTGATATGTATTTTACTCGTATACAGATAAAGAATATCTCTCAGTTCGTAGTTCTCTTAGTTTGTGGTTAAAAATTCCAGATATTTCTTAGAATGATCCATGTTGGACTAGTCGACTCCGTAAGCTTTGCCATATTGCATCAGAAAGTGGGGAATTTCATGGTCTTTAGTTGAGAGTCTTGCAATATTACGACCCATTATTCAAATTCTGCACTAGGGTGAGAGACTCGGTTGTTTCTTGCTCTTCAAAGATTTGAGGTTGCCATAAGCAAAGACATAGCAAAAAACGGGGAACCCATAGATAGGTAACTGTGAGTTAGGTAAATTTACCCATGGGTGAATTTACCCGATAGCGATGATGGACCCATTACTTGTAAATACATGTAATTGGGTACCCATAGATAGTTCTTATTGAGGCAACTACCAAAATTTCCTACTTTACATACAACTTCTCAAATATAAGCTAAATCAAATGAGTATATAAAATCAAATATTGCATTTGTTAAGTACTCGAAGGAAACAAAAGAAAAGTTCAATAACAAATCATGAGCAAGGGGCATCTCTCTTTCTAGCATGCAAAAACTCCAACTATGCCCATAGGTCTTTCAAGTTATTGCGATGATGAAAACAGCATCAACAGATGAGTTTTAAAGGATTCTGAATTTGATTAAATAATTTATAATCCTCCATTAACTGCTTTTTATGAGCATTAGCATCACTATTAAGAGGTGGGTTATCAGTTAACTGATTCTCCCATATGTGATCCTAGTCTGTTGCTATTGAACATAATTTTTACTGCTAATTAATTTACTATCTGTAATTTTGGAGGAACCCAACATAATTTCAGTAACGATCTCTTTATCACTACCTTCAACCATTTTATATTAATACCACAGTCAGTAACTAACACAATAGTAGGCAAAAGTTGAGAGAGGAATGAAGGAATGCCAACCTCAACCTGAAATCCCTGAAACAACTAGAAAAGGAGTACGTGAAGATTCGCACTATCTGACCGGAAACTCACACCAGAAATGGAAGGACAATGCCGGACGTGACATGGGGCAGTGAGACAAGGCAGAATCAGATGTCAGGGCCTTGGGGGTGTTGGTTTCTTCTCAACACTCATCTTGTTGAGAAGATGAGGATGGAGAAGATGAGGATGGTGGACACAAGGCATGGTTTGTGTCGTCGCTGTTATGTGCAATCTCTAGTTTCTTGATTCCTGAAGATACTGATAAAACAGATACAAAGATAAACCAATATCGATCATTTGAACATGCATGCGTTTCCTCAGAGACAGTTAAACTGATCGTATATCTGTGTCAAGAATTCACCAGAGTTAGATGAGAAGAGTTCATATTAATGAACAAGGAGATTTCTCTTCTCGTTTCTCACAAGAAACTCCAACTATGTTACCCAAAGGAACCCTAGGACTGCTCACCATGCAGATCCAAAACCAAATTCAAGGGAATTCTTTTGCATTTTTTGGCAGAAAACAGCCCAGAGATTACCGAAGCATTGGTTGTGATACCATGAAGTGTAGAGAGCATAAGAAGCATCTGTGTGTTTTCTATTGAATAATAGAGGGGGTTATATATACAACAGTAGAGACCCAAACTAGGAAAGCAATCAAGTCTAAATCCCTATGATAGTTACTAATTGCAGCCGAATTAAGAAAAATTGAAATTTAAAAGCTCAACATATACTTACACATTTTCTGTTATGTCTATTTTTTTTAATAATGCAACATCTGATGAAAACAGAGCCTAGTTTTGTCTGTCTTCTGTAGAAGTCACGAACAAAAGAGGAACGATTGTTGTTTCGGAAGTACATGAAATAATAGTGTAGAAATTAACAGAGAGTGAAAGGAGTGTTGCATCCAAGAGGACCAAGACGGATCAAGACGTCTTATTTATTAGAGAAGTTACTCATAAGAATGTTATCTTGAAAAGAATGGAGGAAATGAAGGTTGAGCCACTTCGAGCAAGGTATAGAGACACAAGATTGATTCACATGACATCTTATTATTTTGACTGTTTAGTGTAATGAAATTAGTTCACACTTGTGCACAAGCAAAAGGGGCCTTCATGGAACCCCCCCCCCCCCCCCCCCCCCCCCCCCCCCAAAGACCCTACTTTTGAGTTGATTGAGTGAGTCGGTTTGGTTTGGTTTGGTTTAGTGTAATGAAATTAGTTGTAAACTGTACTTCACTTTTGGAATGTTATTACTGTAGTTAATACATGATTTGCAATAAACTTATCATCTTGATAGGTTTGGTTGGCGTGGTCAATCGCGAGAAAGTATTGGAACCGTCCTCTGTGTTGATGATGATGGGATTTTGCGTGTTGGGTTTCCTGGAGCATCCAGAGGATGGAAGGCAGATCCTGCAGAAATGGAACGGGTTGAAGAATTCAAAGTTGGAGATTGGGTCCGAGTCCGGCCTGCCCTTACTACGGCTAAGCATGGTTTAGGATCTGTTACACCAGGAAGCATTGGTATTGTATATTGTATTAGACCAGATAACAGTTTGTTGTTGGAACTCAGCTATCTTCCAAATCCATGGCATTGTGAACCGGAGGAAGTTGAACCTGTTGAACCATTTAGGGTAACAAAAAATGTGTTCATTTATGTAATATTTCATATATAATAATAATAATAATAATAATAATAATAATAATAATAATTAACATATATTAATAATGTCCACAGATTGGTGATCGGGTTTGTGTGAAGCGCTCAGTTGCAGAGCCCAGGTATGCTTGGGGTGGTGAAACCCATCATAGTGTTGGAAGAATTATAGAGATAGAAAGTGATGGTCTCTTGATAATTGAAATTCCAAATCGGCCCATACCATGGCAAGCTGATCCTTCCGACATGGAAAAGGTGGAGGATTTCAAGGTAAATTAACATCTTGTATTAAGTTCGATGTTCGACATGCATACTTTCCTTGCCTTCGCTATTGATTCTGCTTGCAACTTCTTTTGCCTGGTTCCCCTCATGGCTAAAGAACAAAAATCATTTGTTCCCAAACTCCACGTCCCCTCCTTGTCCACCAATCATGTGAAGACACGTTGTTACTTTATTCAGAGAGAATAGAAAGATGAATTAAATAAAGTAACTGTGTGTCTTTATATGATTGGTGGGACAAGGAGGGAAACATGGGGACAACAGGTGATTTTTTTCCATGGCTAGAGAATAGAAATCATATGCCCTCAAACTTCACGTCCCCACCTAGTCTACCAATCATGTGAAGACACATCATTACTTTATTAAATAGAGAGAATAAAAAGATGAATTAAATTAATGTATATTAAATAAAATAATGATGTGTCTTTACATGATTGGTGGGACATGAAGGGAACATGGGGATAACAGGTGAATTTTTTCATTACTAAAGAACAAAAATCATATGTCCTCAAACTTCACGTCCCCCACAGTTCACCAATCATGTGAAGACATGTCATTACTTTATTAAAGAGAAAATAAAAAAAATGAATTAAATAAATGTATATCGAGTAAAGTAATGTCATCTCTTTACTTGATTGGTGGGACAGGGAGGGAACATGGGGACAGGTGATTTTTATTCATGGCTAAAGAACTAAAAACAGATCATGTCCTCAAATTCCACGTCCCCTCCCTGTCCACCAATTATGTGAAGACACGTCATCACTTTATTAAAGAGAGGGAGAGAGAGAATAAAAAGATGCAGTAAATAAAGTAATAATGTGTTTTCACATGACTGGTGGGACAAGATGAGAACAAGAAGATTGGAGACGACGAGTTTTACTGATGTATAAAGGGCTTGTTGTATGAACCTGTTTACCTTCTTTCTGGACTGGGTTTTATTTGACAATTTATTGAATATGGCAGGTTGGGGACTGGGTGAGAGTTAAGGCTTCTGTGTCCTCCCCAAAATATGGGTGGGAAGATATCACAAGGAACAGCATTGGATTGATCCACAGTTTGGAGGAGGATGGTGATATGGGAATTGCTTTTTGCTTCAGGAGCAAACCTTTCTCTTGTTCCGTGACAGATGTTGAGAAAGTCCCACCTTTTGAATTGGGACAAGAAATTCATATGCTTTCTTCAGTCACTCAACCACGGCTCGGATGGTCAAATGAAAGCCCAGCCACCGTCGGTAAACTTGTTAGAATCGACATGGATGGAGCTTTAAACGTACTAATTCTCTTAGCGTAGTTGCTTTTATTTGTTTGATGTTTCTGTTTTTTATATCTTATTGTCTGGAAAGGGAGAGTGGGTACACTCTTCCATTTAGTTTTATTTATATATATGCATATGCATATACATGAGGGAAGTTCCAATGGGAACCCAGGAATAGCCACAGCACGCCAGGTGTCCCTATTCTGGATGATTATTCGTCATGAATAACACATTCATGATGAATATGGATGTATTATTTATCACACATCACACATTCCCTGATGAATATGGATGTGTTATGGACGTTTTATTCATCATGAATCGCACATTCATGATGAATAACACATCCACATTCATGATGAATATGCCATGTGTCGCGCTGTGGGCGGTTTCCGGGTTCCTAATCAATTCTAGGTTCCTAACTGAACCTGCCCAACATATACGTATAGATATGCATACACATACACACACACACACACATACACATATATATAGGGGGCTAATCATTTGTGGATCACAAAAAGGTTAGAAACCCTTGAGAATCAATCTCAAAGCTTCACATGTTTTTTTTTTCAATCAGACCGGGATTTAAGGTATTGTTTCACATATATTTGTTTCACAATGTGAATCTTCTTTAGGTGTACTTTTTTGTTTTACAATGTGAGACAACACATGATTCAATGGTTCTCAACCTTTTGGAGGTTCTCATTTGATTATGTCCCCCCCTATATGTATGCATACATCATATCATATCATAAGTTTTGTTTTCCCTTCGATATGCTTCTTGATCTTTTCTAAATAGAATATGGAATTGAGTTCAAATTTAGCTTTATATTCTCCCACAAATTCTGAGTTAGCATGTAGAACAGTGGTTCTAAAATTATTTTTTTTCCAGGCAAAAGTGGCTGGAAGACACGGCCTGTGGAAAGTTTCTCCGGGAGATGCAGAAGTGCTTTCGGGATTTGAAGTCGGTGATTGGGTTCGTTCTAAACCAAGCGTGGGAACTAGACCAAGTTATGATTGGTACAGTATTGGCAAAGAAAGTTTGGCTGTTGTGCATAGTGTACAAGATACCGGTTACTTAGAGTTAGCCTGCTGTTTCCGTAAAGGTAAATGGATGACTCACCACACCGACATCGAGAAGGTTTTGGGATTTAAAATCGGGCAGCATGTGACATTCCGAGCCGGATTAGTCGAGCCACGTTGGGGATGGAGAGGAGCCCAACCTAATTCACGGGGAGTTATAGTGAACGTGAACGCCGATGGTGAAGTACGCGTTGCGTTTTTAGGTTTGGCGGGTTTGTGGAGAGGCGATCCAGCTGATCTAGAGATCGAACGAACATTCGAAGTCGGAGAATGGGTCCGAATGACAGAAAATGCAGCCACTTGGAAATCGATTGGGCCTGGTAGCATCGGAGTCGTACAGGGGTTTGTGTACGAATCAGACGAATGGGACGGAAATGTGTCAGTCGGTTTCTGCGGCGAACAAGATCAATGGGTTGGGCCAAGCACCCATCTTGAACGAGTTGACAAGCTCACGAGCGGGCAACGTGTCCGTGTCAAGATGTCCGTGAAGCAGCCGAGGTTCGGGTGGTCGGGCCACAACCATTCAAGCATCGGTGTCATATCTGCAATCGACGCTGATGCAAAGCTGCGAATCTACACACCGGCGGGATCGAAATCATGGATGCTTGACCCGTTTGAAGTGGAGGTGGTCGAGCAAAGGGAACTTTACGTTGGCGATTGGGTTCGGGTCCGACCGTCCGTTTCTTCCCCAACTCATCATTGGGGAGACGTTACTCATTCCAGCATAGGAGTGGTGCACCGAATCGAAGACGGCGATCTTTGGGTCGCGTTTTGTTTCTTGGAACGGTTATGGCTCTGCAAGACGTTCGAGATGGAACGGGTCCGACCGTTTGTGGTCGGCGATAAGGTGAGGATCAAAAAGGGTCTGGTTAGCCCGCGGTGGGGTTGGGGCATGGAGACGCACGCTAGCAGAGGTCAAGTCGTGGGGGTGGATGCAAACGGGAAGTTAAGGATCAAGTTTCAATGGCGGGAAGGGAAACCATGGATTGGTGATCCTGCGGATATCGATCTTGATGAAATCCCGTCACCGGAATCATGAGAACCGTTTACATACCATGTACTTGTTTTTCAAGCAGCCGGCCGAATTTTGCAGGTGCCGGATGGTTGAAATGTCAATAGAAGGGAGCTGGATCGGTTTACGGCCGGCCGGCCAAGCTATTTGCATAAAGATAAGAAAAGGGTATTTAGGTAAATAGTCTGCATATTATTGCTATTTAATTCTACTAATATACAGAGAGAGGAATAACAGCATTTGATATCTGTTTTGTTGTTAGACTTGGACTTTAGACATCTTGTGGTTTCCTTCCGTTTATGTACCTTTTACTCATATGCCTTGTTCATATTATTGCTATACAACCTTTTTATGCTCATCTATGCTTCTTTCTTCTAATTTATATGGTAAATCAGAGTTCTTCACATAAACAATCAGGTAAAGTCTGTGTACATCTTACTCTTTATACCCTACTTTTGTGTGATAACCTGAATTTCAGACATCGGTTGAGGTAACTTTATGTGGTTATTTTGTGAAATATGTGATGGACATGCATATTATTTATAAATAAATGCCTGAATCATATATGTGTATATATATATATATATGTGTGTGTGTGTGAAAAATGTGATTCTGTGCATACATGAGCAAGTGTTAAAGATAAATGTGTGCATGTGGGATGAATTGCATATTTGGTTTATTACACAATCAGTTTATTAATATTTTATTGAGAAGGTAGGCAACTTTCATGGTGAAGTAAGGTAAGTTTTAAAAGTAATAAAACCCATCGCCGTCTTCACAGAGTTTTATATTAATAAAACTCACCGTCTTGTTAAAGAAATATATAAAGAAGATAAAGGTGACAACCCTATCTTATATTTATTTTGAGAAATATTTGAGAGAAGAAGTGTGGCAGTGAAGACTGTTCTTGAGAAGAATATTTGTCTGAAGACGATTTAAGGAATCTGTGTTCATTTGAAGAACTGTTGTGTGTGTGAACATACAAATATGTGCATATAAGGTGAGTTTTTTAAATAATGTTATTTGAAATATGTGGTTTGATGATTGATTTTGAAGAAAGTATGGTAAAACTGTTTCCAACAGTTGTAGACGAGTTTTAAAGAATCTGATTGAGAAAACTGTTTTGGAAAATAAAGCAGATTTTGCTTCTTTAAAATAATTATGGTTGATATCCTATTTTAAGGATTTAAAGGGGATTTCAAGTTTGGAAATGATATTGAAAGAACTGGTAGTTCTTGAGTTTCAAAGTTTTGAAAATAAAACTGTTTTGAAACCATTATTGGTTAAAAACTATAGAGGATATTCCTTTAAGATGGTTGTGACTTCGGTCTGTATTCGTTTGGAATTAATCTATAGGTTTTGGTGGATAAAACTATGGAGGTTGTTTCATCAAGACGGTTGTGACTTCGATCTGTCTTCGTTTGGAACTAATCCATAGATTTTGATGAGGAAATAAGGGTGGCATATCAATGAGAGGTGTACCATGGGATAAAGGTGACATATCAATGAGAGGTGTACCTTCGGTTATAAGGGTGACATATCAAAGAGATGTGTACCTTTGGATTTAAGAGTGACATTTGTATGTGTGAATATTATAGCTCTTACTATTATGTCTCTTAAGATTGCAATAGATTTGAGTTCTTACTTCTTTGTGATTTGAGGACTCAGAGATGTTGCTCTTATTAGAAATGATAGTATTGATGTTATTGAGAAAAGAGAAAATTTGGCCTATGGCCAATAGTTTTGGATAAATTATGCTTTTAGAACAGTATCTGATTTATGAGGAACCAGAGAGGCTCTGGTTGTTCCATGAAAGGAACCAGATGGACTCTGGTTGGTCCTCACAATAGAACCAGAGGGTTCTGGATAATGATTTGATATTGATACAAGTCTCTATTAGATAGGAGTTATGTGTCAATGTTATGTTTTAAAAGATGTTCGAAAGATTTTATACTTATTTTGACTTAGAAACTTTTCTTATAAAGAAGGACAAACCAGAGGGGCTCTGGTTGGTCTCCACGTTGGACCAGAAGGCCTTTGGTTGGTCAAGAATTTTCGGGCCAGAAGCTCTGGTTAGTAGAACCAAAAGCTCTGGTTGAACTTAAGCCTTTTATTGTATACTTTTATACTTGAGAAAACTATTCCAACCATCTTTAGTGTTTGACTACGTACATTTATGAGGATTTATTTGAGTAAGAGTTCTGGTTGGTATAACCAGAAGCTCTGGTAGAGGAACCAGAGGAGCTCTGGTCCTGCTATTTTATGAAAATATTTTCCAAGTCTGGATTTTGGAACCAGATGATCGATGGACTAAAGTTGATCTCATTGTATAAGAGGAAAGCGTAGTCAAGTGGGATGTTGAAGAAGAGGCCGTACATAATCGTCATTATGTTGATGTTGCCTTGATCCATCGACCCTAGCTTGCATGTGAAGGCCCTGTTCAATATGGAAAAGAACATATTCCACATTGGCGGCAAAAACTGCCTTTTGAAATCTGACCCATTATTCCACGGCTGTCAAGGTCGTACTCACAAGTTTGCCAATATTGTTGGATGTACTTTAGAGGTACGCCATTGTCGGTTAGAGTCAGGGCAGGTAGAAGGATGCAATTACGGAAGAACTCGATTATCACAGCAAACCTGTCGTCGAACAGGGTGGTTCGAAGCTCGATGGCATGATTGTGGGCTTTATTGGTAGAAAGATGATTGCTTGGCCGTCGGCGCCGGTGGATTGGACACGGCTATCGTTGTCGTTGGACTCGTGTGATACGGAGGAAGCCATTGTGGATACAGTTGCAGGTAGGTTTGTGCGTCAAGGTCTAGTTGCATGTTTTAGGAAGCGTAAGGGATGACTGGAGGTAGAAGAAGAATATATATAGGTGGGGGGAGGAGAACATGAAACGATTTTCTGATTATTATATTTAAATAATCATGAAAGGTGAAGGCGTTTGGCAAAAGGTGAGTTGATTTAGGGATTGTGAGCCGTCTTGATTGTACGTGCCATTAATGTTGGAGGACACATGTCAAGGCGGGGATAGGGAAGGATAATTTGAAACGGTTAATGGGGAACAGACTGTATATGGTGTCAGGCGCGTGGGAGGATGACGTATGTATATGGTGTCAAGCGTGTGGGAGTATATCCAAAAAAAAAAATTCCATCTAATTGTAAGATAAATACTAATTACGAAGTTTTGGTCTTCTAAAAACCTATGTTGTATAGTTTTTAGTCACAAAAGCTGCAATTTTGTATAATCTTTAGWAAGTTTTCAATTAAGATGGGTTTTTGGATGAAAATTATTTTGTCATGGAACCAGAGGAGCTCTGGTTGAACATATATGAATGAATTCATTGATGAAATGTTGGATTGTATGATAAATAAGCCTTGGATGACTAACCAAAGGCTCTAGATAAACATTGACAATCCATTATGTAGAACCAGAGGGGCTCTGGTTTAAATATACATGGTGTTTTATTTAGCATTTAAGTGTCCAGAGGCTCTGGATAGAAGGACTAGAGGCTCTGGTATGGAAAATGCATATTTATGCAATGGAGATTCATGATGAATGAATAG